GAGTGATCTACTCCTAAGGAAAGTAGGGGCTGTGGCTGCCTTCTTCTTCTTGTTTTGAAGAACCAGAAACTTTCTTCTCCAAACTCTTGATCATGCTCACCATCTTGTCCATGGACTTTTGCATCTTCTCAGTGGCTTTCCGTTGCCATTTGTTGAACTTTTGGAGAAGTCCAATCCTCTTGTGGGCAGCCACAACAGAGGGGTTCATCCTTGGAGCCTCATACTCCTCAAAATAATAGCGCTCAGGCTCTCCCAAATCCACACTTTCCTGGACTTGATCCTCAGCTCGATCCTCAGCTCGATCCTCAGCTCGATCGAGCTCAGGCTCCTCTTCTCGCAAATCATCCTCATGCCCAAATAACGTGTACACAGGGGGTCTGAAATCAATGTTCTCACCCCTTACTACTGTGGTGAGCTCTGGGTTAGGCAGGAGAAGCTTGGAAGGACCAACCAATGGATGAGTGAACTTGAATTGGAACCTCCCATCCAACTCCTTGTGTTCAATGAGGAGGTTGGTCTTGCAGAACTTGATGTCCATCCAACCTGGTTCAGTGGCTCTCCTATCAGTTGGGTTTACTCCAGCAGCACACAAGATAGGAGTGATGAGCCCTCCAATACTTAGGCGCCTCCCTCGTTGATGTCTAGTGTTGTAGGCTGTGATCTTGTAGGTGAGGAGATGATCAAGGCACTGAAAAGCAAAAATATGATCAGATGAGATAAGTTTGTGTAACATACAGCTATTGTGAGACTAATAGACTATGACATACCGTTGTAACTTTCCCTGTGAGACTAATAGACTATGGTATCAGGTTCCCTGTGTTGGATCTATCTCCCCTGATCCTCTCGCCATCGCTTGTTCGTGAGAGAAAGGGCTTGATCCCCATGTCAAGAAACTTGAGTTCCCCCTCGTTGATGGTCTCGGTTGCCTTCCTAGCAAAGAAGGTGTTGGCTAGTGCCTTGTTGATGCGGCATCTATGGGATGAGTACAAGTAATAATTCCCTAAGACAACTAGTGTTGCAAGTGCACAACATATAATTGTAGTATTTAGGGGTCGAACCACAAGGGATTGGATTTCACACATTACATAATCATAGAGTTTAAATGACTAAGCTAAATCAAAAGATGCAAGGGTTTGTGTTTGTTTAGAACACGCAAAAGAAATAACAATGCAATTCTATACAAGCAACATTATTGAACTATTGAAAACTCTTTTGAAAACATGAGCCAAGTCGATTGAAAAGTTTGTTAAAATCCGATTCTTTTGAACTCAAAACACTAAGGAAGGATTATTCCACTTTCGTGGTTCCAATCCCCTATGTCTCTTAAACCAATGGGCTCAGCTTTCGTTGGTCATTGTAGAGTGAGACATGCATTACATCCAAGTAATGATTGTTCACAAAACTCTTTAGGTCTACTTTCGTAGCCTAAAACGATTTGCCCATCAAATATTATATCCGGAGATATAACAAGCTTTTGGAGAGTATATCAACCTAAAATCAAGTCACTAGTTAGCTACTCTAGCAACAGCATTAAGCATAAATAAAGATGGAGAACCATAGGGTTTCCCCTTTTAACAATCGATTTTCGATGGCCATTATATCACGTCCTCATTGGAAGGATCCATAATTCAACAATGAGTCTTAGATAGTAGATGAAGTCTCATGAATCCTTAGAGAGAGAGGCGGCGGAATATGGACTAAACCACGCCTCACCCTTAGGGAGAAATCTCTACTTCTAGACTATATAAATTGAAACATGCAAGCTATATACAAATGCAAAAGAAGAAAAGAAAGAAGAAGGAGACCACCTAAGTGGCTCCGAACTTTATTGAATAAGTGTTTCTTGTTATGCGGCTGGTGATTCTTATTACAAGAGGCTAAAAGCAAGTATATATAGGTAGAGAGCGGGTCTAGGTCGGCAAAGTTGAGCGCGCGCAGAAGAGGAAAGTTTCCATTTCTCTTTAGCCGCTTGAGCTTGCTCTCCAAGTTCTTGAATGGGCCGCGTTCAGGCCAATGGAAGCTTCTGGATTGAGTTATGCTAGTGTCAAGATGAGCCAAGGCCTTGGGCGCGGTATCCGGGCCTCTTGATCCATCAAAGTCTCCATGGGCTCTACTTAGGCGCTCGTCGGACATGTCTTGGTAGAAAATAAGTTCCGGTCCAACGAGTGATCCAAATGACCTCTTTCCACTTCGCCGCGGGTCACGACTCAAATATCTATCTTTCCATATAAGAATCATGACTTTTGGACGTCGGGAAGGCATGAACATGCGGTCGTACTTCGGATGCTCCGGTTTGGTCTTTAGCGAGAAATGTAGATTTTGGTGCTCTAGACTTGGGAACTTGGTGATTTGACTCTTTTTGCTCCATTTTGGACTCTTCTTTGCTATTTTGACCTGAATGATGCTCAAAACCAGAATATACAAGAAAACTACCTCTTGGGCTTAAAAACCACATTATTTGTATTAAAAACATAGTGAAAACCTTGATAAAAACATGAAAGATATGGATATATCAACTCCCCCAGACTTAGCCTTTTGCTTGTCCCCAAGCAAACTAAGAGAGGAAGAGAGGTTTGAAAACGCAAGAACTCTCAAATCATTAGGAAATCCGGGTTGGCTTGAATTAAGAACAAGAGTACATACCATGAGTTTTGCGATTTTTCCAAGGCGGCCCACCTCTCTTTGGACAATCCAATTCACCCTCCTTGACTCCTTTCATTTCTAAAGGTGTGGTCTCAACTAGGGAGTATCGATCAGCCGGCTTTAGACTCTTACTCATCCCCTTGTTTTGGCACTTGTCTTTTTACTCCATGTTTCTCCTCTCTCTCTTCTCACTTCTTTGAGTTGACTCATCCCTTTTTTAGGGTAGCGAAGTATTTTTTTATTCAACTCCTTCTCTTTATTATAGAGGTTTTGCTTGGATCTTCCACAGACGCGAGTATTGATGGTGTTTGCCACCGAATCCCCGGTTGCTTGGATTCATAGGCCTTCCATAGACGCGAGTATTGATGGTGTTTGCCACCGAATCCCCGGTTACTTGGACCTTACGCTTTTTCTTTAAATTTGAAGGGGAGAGAGAGGGAAGCACGAACTCACTAAGACTTTTTCATTTGATGGAGAGGATGAGGAATCATGCCATTTGTATGCCAAGCCCCTAGCTGAGAAGATTAAGTTCATTAAGGGCGGAGTCAAGAGTGGATCCTTCTCAAGTCCTTGGAGGTGTGGGCGTTTTTGGTAGATCGATCAACTCATAGTGTCCCTGTGGTAAGATGTATTGCCAAGACTGCTTCAATGGTCACTTAAACGTTAGCACAACAATGGTTAGATCCAAGATAAGGTCATAATCCTTTGACAAAATTTTGACTCAATAAAACGACTCAATGAAATTCAAAAAGAACAAACTTGTTAGTAATCCCCCCAGACTTAACTTGCACCGTCTCGGTGTAAGAAAAATCCAATTAAGAGAGGTAATGATAAATAAGAATGGAAAAGTTAGAGTTTGTAGAAAATTGTACCCAAATTTTTGGCCTTTGATGTGAAGATCGGTTGTGCGCTTTTAGGTTGCTTCCAGGAATGAACTGACTGGTGCAAACATCATAGCTGTTGGATTTGGTTGGATGAATGTGACAATTCTCCCTTGGTTTCTGTTTTTCGCCTTTTTGGCCGAGACTGGTCCGTTTTGGTCGACCGGATGGTGATGGTATGGACTACAGCTCGAACCGTGAAGATTTCCTCGACCTATCTTGAAATTTCGTCGACCAATATTGTATAATATGGCGACTGGTGAGTTTGGGGTCGTTTGAACGAGTGGTTTGAGATCTCCTTTGAAAATTTTCAAATTGGCTCCGGGAACGTCTTCCTTCGGCTCTCCAATTCTGCTCGTTCCAATCCGGATTTTCTTCTTTAGATGCGATGTGGATGCTTGATGGAGGTGATTTGAGCCGGTGGCCGCGGTAAATGCCGTGATTTGGATTGTCGGCCATTTTACTTGCTCGCGATCGGCCAAATTTCTCCATCGGCCATCTCTTGAATTGTAAGGAATTCATCGTACTGAAATGAAATTTCATCGACCAACCTTATGTTTTGTGGCTCCTTGTGAAGTTTGAGGCGATTTGAACGTGTGGATTCGGAGATCTTTCGTCGTGCGCGCCAATGGCGTCGGGATGTGATTCCTTTGGCCATCTTGTATTCTGTTCGATCGTCTCCTTCCTTTCTTCTTCCTTGGTGTTTTTTGGACTCCAGAGGATCAGTTTCCACCGGTGTTCGCGCCTTCTTGAGGTTTTGAGTTCGTCGGCCATTCTATGCATCGCCGTCGGCCGTATTGAGCTTCCTCGTCTATCTCACGTGAAAGGCACTTTTCTCGTCCTATCTTTTGGATTTGCCGACCAAAATGATGTTTTGAGGTCGCCTGTGAAGTTTGGTGGACTTCGGTCGTGCCGTTTGGGAGATGGTCGAGTTGTCGCTTGGTTCGTCGATTCTGGCCGAGAGAGTGATTGGGAATGTGATATCTCCTTTTTTACTCGGGCCAATTGAGTTCTGCTTCGACCGAACTGTTTTTCTATCCCTCCTGGATTGAATTGTGGTTGGATTTCCCTCATCTCTCATGTTTGGCATGTAAATCCTCCTTTGGCCGGTTGTGGCTTCCTTGCGCGCCATGTTTGTTTGATATTTTGAACCGGTTTCCTGTCATTTTATATCTGAAAAACACTAGTAACTTTTGTTAAACTCTGTCAATGATTGAGTTGTTCAAAATAGTTTGAACTTCCCAATCAATGACTTGATCGTGACACTACATGTACTTGGGATCTTGATCAGAATCCAAGTAGTGTTCATGGTGAAATAAGATAGAGATAATGTTTTTGAGAAATGAGATTTGAGTGGGAGAGATTCCAAGTGCCTCGTGTGCGCCCTTTTGGACTCTTCTTGAAACATGGGTGGGACTTGGGTGGGACTCAAACTAGACTCAATGCTCAATGCTTAGACCAAAGATGGTTAATCCTTAAGGTCAGTCGTGGCTATGTGCCTATCCAATGCATTTTTCATGTAGACCTCCTTTTTGGTACTTTTTCCTAAAACACTTTTTATTTTATTTTTGTAAAATTTATTAAACTCTCAAAAATTTAAGAGTTATAAATAGAACAAATAAATAGTTTAAAAATAAAAAAAAGAGGAAGGGATAAGAAAATGTGGGTTGCCTCCCACAAGCGCTTGTTTTAAGTCTTTGTAGCTCGACTCCTTTGTGTTCTTAGTTAGGTAGGATTGGTGGCTCTGATATCACCATATTTTACATGATTTTACTATATAATTACTTATGTTTTCAAACGGTTTTTGCAAGATTCTTTGCCTTTAGAGGTAGTTTTCTTGTATTTGTGGGATTTGAAGTCTTTGTAGGTGAAACCATCAAAAAGGATGCAAAAAGGAGTAAAAGAGCCCTAAATCAAGATCCATGCAAGTTTCCAAGTCAAGAAGATCATTTTATCTCCAAGTGTTAGTTCTCGCTGCGCGCAGAACGAAGCTTCGGAAGTTTGGCCGCGCGCGGAGGAGTTCCCGACGTCCAAAAGTTACGATCTTGATATGGAAAGATAGATACTTGAGTCATGCATCACGTCGAAGTGGAATGAAGCCATTTGGATCAACTATGAGGCCTAGACTTATTTTCTACCGAGACATGTCCGGTAAGCGAGTAAACGAAGCCCATGGAGGATTTGGAGTGTCTAATGGCCCGAGCAGCAGCGCCAAAGGCCTTGATCGAATAGAGAAGAGGCCTGGCTAATGTTTGGAGCTTTCCTTGGTACAATGTCGGCCCATACACGACGTGGAGAAGAAGGCTTTGCTCACGGGAAACTTTCCTTTTCCGGCATGAAGAAAACCCTACGCGACTTCGCCCATATATACATGTTTTTAGCCGCTGAAGAAGAGAGTCAGAAAATTATCAAAGAGTGTACGTGTGAGAAGAGAGTTCAGAGGAGAGAAGCCCTAGGAGATCGTCCAAGAAGAAGGAGGCGCCGCTCAACTCTTGTTCTTTCTTTTTCATTGTTTCCATTTCTATAAACTTGATTTTAAGAGTTTTCAAGGGAGAATCCGACTTTGTTCATCAATAGAGAAGCTTTCTTCATCCCTTTATCTCTTTTAATACTTGCATAATGTTTACAATCATGCTTTGCTTGCTTGTTTGCATCATGGCCGAGTAGATCTCTTAGTTAGGCCGAGGAGATCTATGGTGGCCGTGATGATTTGATTGTGTTGCAACTTATTGGGATTTATCTTATGGATCTTCACCTTTACTTGAGCTTAATGCATGATTACTCTACCGTACATCTAGTAATCTGATCTTAGAGAAATAGAACCACGACAGTGCTGAATCTAGATCTCAAAACTAGTATTTGGTGAGCAATAGATCATAGCCAACGAAAGCTGAGTTATGGTTTATTGTGAACAATTGAATCTTGATCACCTTTAATGCATGTTTGCAATTCTAATAGCCAACGAAAGCTGAGTATATTAGGTTGTTTTAAACATAGTGGTTGGAGCCACGACAGTGGAAAGACCATACACTAGTGATTCATGTTCAAGACGGCTCTACACACATCCCATGCAACTATCTTTTCATCATTGCTCCATATGATTGTCCTTTGCCTAACTCTTGTTTTAAATTGTTTACAACCTCACTCACATTTCTTTTGTTTTTTTCTCATTCTAGGTCCAAAACCATCTCATATTGCGAGCTAGCTACAAACCAATCTCACAAGGTGTTAAGCGAGAACACTTCCTCCTCGTGTTCGACCCCGACTACAACACGGCTGTGCACTTGCAGCTCATTAGTTGGGTTTATAAATTGTGAAAATTTGAGGCAATCTAAACCCGCCATCAAGCTTTCTGGCGCCGTTGCCGGGGAGGAGTTGCTTTTCCTTCACACCTCTTGATTTGTTTCAAGACTAGCTCATCTCATCTTTCACTTTTCTTTGTTTTTGTTTTTCATAAAATCTTAAAAACTCATAAAAATTTTACTTAACTCTCTCTTTGTGTGTTTCTAAGGTGCATGACAAGAAGGTCCAATCCAAATACAACCATTGAAGAAGATCTTGACATTGACCAACTTGAGCGCACACTTAGGCGACTAAGAAGAGAAAGAATGAATCCAGGCGGAGAAGGCGCGCCAAATAGGCCACACAACCCGCCCGACCAAGAGAGGAGAGCCAATGATCCTCCTAATCCAGCAGAAGCTAGAGCTGACCAGCCAGCACCGGCCAGAGACGTTCCTCCGCCCAATCCGAACGCGCCCGATGCAGCTGAGCCGCTACAGCCACCTCTTAACCCGCCGCGACCACCACCGGCGTTTGCAAATGGACATCATCGTCACGGTGACAACCAAGGGATGCCTCAAGACCAACCTCACGCACCTCCAAGGAGAGTGCCAAACGCGCAGCATCCAAGGCACCAAACTATGGGAGACTTTGATTCGTCCGATGCTTTCTTTATGGATCGGAATCCAATCCGACCGCCTCTACCTCCAAGGAACGATTTTGAGATCAAACCACAGATCATTGCCTTGGTGAAGCAAAACCAATTCCATGGTTTGCCCACTGAGCATCCTCTTGATCACGTCGACACCTTTGAGGAGATATGTAGCACAACTCGTGTTAATGGAGTATCGCCGGATTACTTCAAGTGCAAGCTATTCACTTTTTCTCTAAGTGACAAGGCGCTTAGATGGGTGATGATAGGATTTTATGCGGATGTGATATGATATGAGATGAAATGAGGTGGAATGCAAACAGGGGTGAATAAAGATGATATGGTATGGTGCAATCACAATCAATCAATTCCTCTTAACCATCATAGTCATTGAAGTATAAGAGGTTATCAATCCAAAATGGGAACTTGTCACTCTTTGAGAATATGAAACAACCTGAAAGTCAAGCAAGCAGTTATAGATTTGAAGTAACACTAACAACCTAAAAATAATGAAAAGCAGTGCAATAAAAGTAAACAAAGCAGTGAAGTGTCAGCTCGACCAAGAGCTCGAGTCGAGTAGAGCAAAGTACCAGCTCGATCGAGTTTAGGGACGAGTTGAGACAAACAAAGCTAAAGGTGACGACTTTAACAAGATAAAGAGAGAATTAGGGTTCAAGACAGGGTTTTGCAATCAAAGGAATCTACACTTAATCAATCTAGCTCTTAAAACTCCTTGTATCAAGGCTTCTCTTGATATTGGGCTTCTCAATGCCTAGCCAACCCTTTCCCAAGGTGGAGGCTATCAACCAAGGAATGATCTCAGAAACAGGGGGTTAGCCAGTGAGAATCAAACCTTGGAGGCTATAGGATCATTGCCCAAACTAATCCATCCAACCCCTTAGACCTCTATTTCTAGAGCAAGAGATATTGGAGCTCTTAGTGGATCTTTTCCAGCGAATGCCATCACTTTCGTGTGGGGAGTCGCCTAAGGACTTACAAGCCAGGGGTAGTGGTCATGTAGCCTTAAGATCTATCCAAAAGAGAGAGAATCTAGATTAAGACCATAAGCTAGAAGGATTAAGCATATGAAACCTCTAATCTATCCCATCTCAAACCCCAATGGGTAACTACTCACTACACATGAATGTAAACACAAGCAAATGCAATAAAAGAGACATCATAAGAAAGAGGAGATGAAATAAACAACTTTTATTGAAATAAGCAAGTGCAAATACAAAGAGAGATTATCCAGGATCTAAGATTCAAGAAGCAAGAGCTTCAAGAACACAAAGATGGGATTAGATCTCTAAAAAGTAAAAGTACAATAAATTAAAAGAAACTAAAACAAAAGTAATCTAAAGCTTGGTGGTTTTTTCGTGGCTAGAGCCTTTAAATACAAAGAGGATTAGGTTTAGGGTCAAAGGGAAGTCAAGGGGGAAGCAACATTTTTCGGGTTTGACTTTGACTTCCAGCTCGATCGAGTTGAAGCTTGGCCGGTCGAGTTGAGGAACTCGACCGGTTGGTCGAGTGGACGGTCGAGCTGGTCTTCAAGATGGCTTCTCCCTTCTTCCTTTGCGTATCCAGTTGAGCTGCTTCCATGTGCCAAGTCCCTCCATGCTCCTTATGTCCCATATGCTCCAGAATGCTCCAAAAGACCTATTTCAAAGGACCAAACATGCATATGTATGCAAATGCAACCTAAAACTAACATGAATGCATAAGAAGAGAAAAGGAACAAGATATGATGCAAATGGAAAGCTAAAACTATGCAAAAGATGCATAAAAGATGTGCTAAAACTATGTAAAATGCAAGTACATCAATGGGTAAAGTCTTTACCATCTCAATCCATTACAACATGGAATGAATACAAGGGAGCTTTCTTGAACCAATTCTACACTAAGCAAAGATCCAACTCTATAAGGAGCAAGATTTCTGGTTTCAAGCAAGATTCAATGGAGTCATTCTATGAAGCTTTGGAGAGATTCAAGGAGTACACAAGAAGCTGCCCTAACCATGGCTTTTCAGAAGGTAACCTTTGGAACATCTTTTACAATGGGATTGATCATAAATACAAGCTTTCTCTCGATACCGCGAGCAATGGTAATTTCATGACCAAGTCGGTGCCGGAGGCAAAGCTTTTGATTGAGAATCTCGCTGCTAGTGATGCCAATGCATGCCCTGACTACAATAGAAGCGTGAAGACCACGAGCTCATCAGAATCAGCTCAAATCTCGGAGCTAAGGAACATGGTTTCACAACTACTTAAAAGCCGACAAGGAGTTCACGCCATTGAAGATGCCCTAGCCACAAATGAAGACACTCTTATGGATTTCATGAGAGATGGCGCTGAAGAGAATCTAGAGGAAGTCAACTACATTGGAGGAAACTATGGGAATAGAGGATTCAATCCACCATTTCGCGCGCATCCAAACCTATCATACCGGAGCAACAATGTGGAGAATCCAAATGACCAAGTCTACCCCAATCAAGGAGCGTATCAAGGAGGCCAATACCAATCCAAGCCACAACAAGTCTATCCAAGAGGGATGTACCAAGTGAAGCAACCATTCACTTTTTCTCAAGAAACAAATCCAACCCAAACCGGAGAGAAGGTTGACGTGGCGTTGAAGAAATACATGGAGGAGCAGAGATTGATCACCAAGAACCTATATGAGAAGCTTGATCACATGTTTGGTGATCTAAGCAGCAAGTTTGGGTCTCTCTCTACTCACGTTCAAAAGCTTGAGGTGCAAATCGCTCAAACAGCCGAGGCGGCCAAGAAACAAAATGAGGTAAACACTCAAAAATTTTGTAGTGTTGTCTCATCTATAGATGGCACTATTGTTCCTACACTATCTCAAGGGGAAGAAGAAGAAAATGAGCCTAAGGAGAGGCACAAACCGGAGAGATACAGTTGGGAATCAAGAAGAGCTTACAAGAGAAGACTTGAAGGCAAGCCACTACAAAAACAAGAAGATCCGGGGAAGTTTGTGATAACTTCAAGTATCAATGGCATTCAACTCCACGATTGCCTATGTGATACTGGTGCTAATGTTAATCTAATGTCTCTTGCACTTGCAAAAGATTTGGGATTCAAGGAATTCAAGAGCCCCAAGATAAGAGTCGAGTTCGCGGATCTATCGTGCATGGAACCTATGGAATGCTTGAAGATGTCATGATGGAAATAGGGGGTCGATCGGTCCCAACTGACTTTCAAGTCATGATTTGGGAAGGCTCAAAGAGGAATCAACTGATTCTTGGAACCCCATTCCTTGCTACAGCTGGAGCGGTCCTAAACTACTTTGGGAATCATCTATCTTTTGGCCACATCCGGCAAGATATCTTTTTCCCAAGTGTAAATTTCAGGTCAGTGCCAAGTGCGACCAAGCTACCACCAGAAGAAGCCACTCTCACCTAAGAAAGAAGCCGTGATGCATGGAGAAAGAAGAGAGAGTGAGCGCTACCCAAAACCAAAGGAGAAGAAGAAAACATTGGAGCCGAGGCATGAAAATGTCTTTAAGGAATCAACTCCATCTCACTTCCAACCTTTGATGAATATGGAGCTGAAGAGGAGACTAATGGTGCACCTAATCTCTTTCACAAGATAAGAATCTTTACACCAAAAGATTCGGAGCTTAAAGGTGACCAATCCATTGAAGAGAAGCTTGAGAGAACTATGAAGCTTTTCCCCAAGGCATTGGTTTTCAAAGATGATGTGAGAGATGACTATGGCGCGACAACACCACCACAAGAAGCCACTGAACCGGAGAATGGAGAAGCTAAAGGGATCCTTTGCCCTTCAGCCACTCTTCACCACGATTGAAAGAAAGAGAAGGAGTCAAGCTAAATGACTTAAAACAAAAGCGCTTTATGGGAGGCAACCCATATGGTTTTTAACTATTATTTCTATTTTGCAGGAGTTTTTCAAAAATCAAACAAAAATACAAAAATATTTTCTTAGGATGAAGACCCAAAGGAGACCAAACAATGGAAGTGTCCCACCCAATGAGCCCACCCTTGTACAAGGCGTTTCTCTTCCAAAAGGTAAGTAAACTCTCACCTAGTATTCATTTCTAATCACTCTTGATCTTCACTTGAAAAATCGTTTAAACCATTGCACTTTATCAAATATATTTCATGGTTTAACTTGATTTACTTTTGATGATTGGAAAGAATACATAATCACTTGTCAAAACTCATTTCTCACTGAAATTACAAGAGATTGAACTATAGTTTGAAATTTGGATCATTGACCAAGACCAAATAAGAATTTATAGTTTGTGCTTTAATCTCTTGGATTGTGAACTTCAAGTTGGTCACTTGAGGATCACAATCTGAGAAACCATCTAATCATGATTTCAAGTGTTTTGCAAGGAGTTAACCATTTGACAGGAAGGAGAAATAAAGCAAACCTATAACCACCTCAAAACCAACATGCATATGGCGGCCAAAGGGAGGTTAAAAGGAGATACATAGGCCATCACACGAAACAAGGCGGCCACCACTTGGGAATGACACAGGAGGGTTATTAAAACAATTCGGTCGAAGAAAATCTCAATTGGCCCGAGTGGATTTGAAGAAATTCAATCCGGACATTTCTCTCGGCCATACCGCGCACAAGGAGACCAACTACGGCCAACTCCTAAACGGCGTGACCAAAGTCCACCAAACTTCACAGGCGACCATAAATCACATTTTGGTCGGCAAATCCAAAAGATAGGACGGAGAAATCATCACGGATCATGAGATAGACGACGGAGCTCATTCTGGCCGATGGCGCGCAAGCAATATGGCCGACAAACCAAATCACGGCATAGGCGCGCCAACCGGTTGGAAAACTCTTCTTTGAGCTTAACTAACACTTTTATGCAGGAAGAAACGAAAAGGAACGAGCCAAACTTCACATGGCCAAGGAAACTCCTTCCCGGAGCCGACTTGACCATTTTGTGAAGGAAGTCTCAATCCGCTCGTCAAATGCTCCCAAACTTCACCAGAGGCTATAAAATACCAGGTTGGTCGATGAAATTTCAATATAGGTCATGAAATTTTGACGGTTTGTTCTGTAGTTCACAGCACCACATTTTGGCCGACCGAATATACCAATCTCGGCCAAAACACAAACCGGCGGAAACCAAGGCCTGAAATTAAAAACTCACCGACCAATATTGCCTAAAGAAGTGTAGAATGACCCAAACCAGAACTGATCTTCATTATAAATTGGTCGACATTTGGTAACATCATCCTAAACCTTTTTCTTTTCAATTTTTCATTTGAACTTCATGTTATGCCTCTCTTAATCCGATTTGATTTCACCGGGACGGTGCAAGTTAAGTCTGGGGGGATTACTAACAATGTTTGTTCATTTTGGCATTTTCATTTGCATTTTTCCCTTTTATCGAGTCGTTTTTATTGAGTCAAAATTTTTGTCGAGAATCATGACCTTATCTTGGATCTAACCATGTTGTACTAATGTTTAAGTGACCATTGAGCAGTTCTTGGCAATACATCTTACCACAGGTGCACTATGAGTTGATCGATCTACCAAAAACGCCTACATCTCTAAAGACTTGAGAAGGATCCATCTTTGACTCCGCCCTTAATGAACTTAATCTTCTCAGCTAGGGGCTTGGCATACAAATGGCATGATTCCTCATCCTCTCCATCAAATGAAAAAGTCTTAGTGAGTTCGTGCTTCCCTCTCTCTCCCCTTCAAATTTAAAGAAAAAGCGTAAGGTCCAAGTAACCGGGGATTCGGTGGCAAACACCATCAATACTCGCGTCTATGGAAGGCCTATGAATCCAAGCAACCGGGGATTCGGTGGCAAACACCATCAATACTCGCGTCTGTGGAAGATCCAAGCAAAACCTCTATAATAAAGAGAAGGAGTTGAATAAAAAAATACTTCGCTACCCTAAAAAAGGGATGAATCAACTCAAAGAAGTGAGAAGAGAGAGAGGAGAAACATGGAGAAAAAGACAAGTGCCAAACAAGGGGATGAGTAAGAGTCTAAAAGCCGGCTGATCGATACTCCCTAGTTGAGACCACACCTTTAGAAATGAAAGGAGTCAAGGGTGGCGAATTGGATTGTCCAAGGAGAGGTGGACCGCTTTGGGAAAATCGCAAAACTCATGGTATGTACTTTGTTCTTAATTCAAAACTTGCCAATGCTGTTTCATGTGGATTACTAAAGCATAAGTCAATTTGGATTTCCAAAAGATTTGAGAGTTCTCACGTTTTCAAACCTCTTTTCCTGCTTAGTTTGCTTGGGGACAAGCAAAAGGCTAAGTCTGGGGGAGTTGATATCACCATATTTTACATGATTTTACTATATAATTACTATGTTTTCAAACGGTTTTTGCAAGATTCTTTGCCTTTAGAGGTAGTTTTCTTGTATTTGTGGGATTTGAAGTCTTGTAGGTGAAACCATCAAAAAGGATGCAAAAAGGAGTAAAAGAGCCCTAAATCAAGATCCATGCAAGTTTCCAAGTCAAGAAGACCATTTTATCTCCAAGTGTTAGTTCTCGCTGCGCGCAGAACGAAGCTTCGGAAGTTTGGCCGCGCGCGGAGGAGTTCCCGACGTCCAAAAGTTACGATCTTGATATGGAAAGATAGATACTTGAGTCATGCATCACGTCGAAGTGGAATGAAGCCATTTGGATCAACTATGAGGCCTAGACTTATTTTCTACCGAGACATGTCCGGTAAGCGAGTAAACGAAGCCCATGGAGGATTTGGAGTGTCTAATGGCCCGAGCAGCAGCGCCAAAGGCCTTGATCGAATAGAGAAGAGGCCTGGCTAATGTTTGGAGCTTTCCTTGGTACAATGTCGGCCCATACACGACGTGGAGAAGAAGGCTGCTCACGGGAAACTTTCCTTTTCCGGCATGAAGAAAACCCTACGCGACTTCGCCCATATATACATGTTTTTAGCCGCTGAGGAGAAGAGAGTCAGAAAATTATCAAAGAGTGTACGTGTGAGAAGAGAGTTCAGAGGAGAGAAGCCCTAGGAGATCGTCCAAGAAGAAGGAGGCGCCGCTCAACTCTTGTTCTTTCTTTTTCATTGTTTCCATTTCTATAAACTTGATTTTAAGAGTTTTCAAGGGAGAATCCGACTTTGTTCATCAATAGAGAAGCTTTCTTCATCCCTTTATCTCTTTTAATACTTGCATAATGTTTACAATCATGCTTTTTGCTTGTTTGCATCATGGCCGAGTAGATCTCTTAGTTAGGCCGAGGAGATCTATGGTGGCCGTGATGATTTGATTGTGTTGCAACTTATTGGGATTTATCTTATGGATCTTCACCTTTACTTGAGCTTAATGCATGATTACTCTACCGTACATCTAGTAATCTGATCTTAGAGAAATAGAACCACGACAGTGCTGAATCTAGATCTCAAAACTAGTATTTGGTGAGCAATAGATCATAGCCAACGAAAGCTGAGTTATGGTTTATTGTGAACAATTGAATCTTGATCACTTTAATGCATGTTTGCAATTCTAATAGCCAACGAAAGCTGAGTATATTAGGTTTTTTAAACATAGTGGTTGGAGCCACGACAGTGGAAAGACATACACTAGTGATTCATGTTCAAGACGGCTCTACACACATCCCATGCAACTATCTTTTCATCATTGCTCCATATGATTGTCCTTTGCCTAACTCTTGTTTTAAATTGTTTACAACTCACTCACATATTCTTTTGTTTGTTTTCTCATTCTTAGGTCCAAAACCATCTCATATTGCGAGCTAGCTACAAACCAATCTCACAAGGTGTTAAGTGAGAACACTTCCTCCTCGTGTTCGACCCCGACTACAACACGGCTGTGCACTTGCAGCTCATTAGTTGGGTTTATAAATTGTGAAAATTTGAGGCAATCTAAACCCGCCATCAGGCTCCAAGAACTTCTGTTGCCTGATGATTCCAAGTGCATCTTGTCCTGTAGAACTTCCTTGATCAAGTAGCCATGCGACTCTCCTCTTACTTGTGAGCACTCTCCTCCACTTGTGTAGCGAAATCGCTTGGATGAGAAACCGGGAGGTGCAGCATCGTAGAAGGTGTCCTTGTCAACATTGGCTAGAGAGATTCTTCTATTAGGCCAATCCATGATCGCTCCAGCTGTGGCTAGGAATGATCTTCCAAGCAAAAGCTTTAAGTCCTCCGGATCCTTCATGGTTACTACATAGAAGTTGGCTGGAACTATGCAGCCTCCAAAATCAAGCTGAATGTCTTTAACCTCTCCAAGTGGTTCGGTCAATGATGAATCAGCTAGCTTTAAATCCATTCGAGATTTCACAATTGAATTGATCAATCCCAACTTCTTGGCTATCTCGGCCGGCATAAGGTTCACACTAGAACCGGAATCGCAAAGAGCATCATCAAAGTAGCTTCCATTGATAGAGAAATGTATAAGGAAGTAACCTGGGTCATGAAGCTTGTGTAGAAACCTAGGTTTAGGCATCCCCTTTCTTGCTTCCTCGTACATCTTTTCCATTCAGCTAGACTCCAATCTTGTGTCCAAGCTAGGTCTTGCATGAATGGACTCTTGTTGCAAGCATTATCAAATGA